CTCTGTAAGGCTATGTCCACATTCCATATGTCGCAGGATATTTACTTACCGGTATTCTTCCCAAAGCCCCATGTGACCCCTAGGGAGCAAGCCCTACACACTCTAGATGCAAATTGAGCGCTGTCATTTTACATTGATAGAACAAGAGAGTTTCGCAAATTAACTCAACTCTTTATTTCAGTAGTGGAAAGAATAAAAGGTATGCCTGTATCGGCACAGCGATTGTCTTCCTGGATTACATCCTGTATCAGGGAATGTTACGAACTGGCAGGCAAGGTACCGCCTCGCATCACAGCTCACTCTGCTCAGCAGTCTTCCTAGCACAGGTTGATACCTATATGGGACATCTGTAGAGCAGCAACATGATCGTCAGTACACACGTTCACAGCACATTATGCAATCACCCAGCAAGCTAGGGATGATGCAGCCCTGAGCGTTGCGGTCCTGCAGTCAGCCCTGCCTTAACCTGTATTGTTCTCTGACCATGCCTCCATTAGTTTTGGCTAGAGAGTCTCCTAATTCGAATGCACACGAGCAAGCACTCGAAGAAGAAAAAATGGTTACTTACCTATAATTGTTGTTCTTAGAGATGTGTTGCTTGCATCCATTCGACACCCCTCTCCACTCCGTTCGTCGGAGTTTTCCACCAGGAAGGAACTGACAGAAGGGAGGGCCAGTAGGGGTACTTATTCCCCATTATGTCAGTTCCACTCAACGGGGCTCCCTGCTGGCCTGACATAACTGGGGAAAAAAGGCTCCGGAATCCGTGCATGCAGTACGTGCACATCTAATTCAAATGGACACGAGCAACACATCTCAAAGAACAACAGTTACAGATAAGTAACTGTTTTTTCTTCTAAAAAGGAACAAAAGAACCAATGGGCCAATTGGTATCATTAACAGGCAACTGCTTTTGCTATTATATATATTTTGGATTCTGTTATTTCCATTCCAGCTAATCTGATGAAGTGTTTTACCCATGAAAGCTCATCATGTTCCTATATATTTTTGTTAGTCTCTTAGGTGTCACAGGACTACTCATTATTTTTATAATCTTCTATTTGGTTAAGATGTCCCTACTTGCATGTTCCATTCTGGGGAAATGTCCATTGTTTTCTCTGCCATAAACTGACCAAATTCCTCAAGTGTGTGTGTTTGCAGGGGCAGGTGGATATTTTCTCATATACCCATGCTTACATCTTGGTGAACAGAGCTATCATCATCTCCTTTACCTCAATAAAAGCAAAAATGAAATGAAATTTAGCCATACCATGATTAACTGACCAATAGTCATCTTGTTAGTCATTTAATTAAGTTAGTGTGTCTGAGGTGCGTGGAAGCACCATTTACTTACCTGTATTTTGAGGATGTTTATCTGAACAGTAATCTGTTTTTCATAAAGCTATTCTAAATGCACCATCATGCTTTTCAGTGTCTTTTTCCAAATACAGTATTTATTGGTACACTTTCCTTCTTGTCTTTTCTGTCTTTAGGCTCTTGGGGCAAGAATTCTATACAGTCAAAACTCTACCAAACCTTAACAAATATTGCTACAATATCTAAGATTTCTAGATTGACCTCTGATTAATATGTTGTCTCTTAACATTGTGAAAACTTTATGATAAAACTAAAAACTTATGATGCAACTGCATTGTTTTTTTTTCATATTAATGTCTGTGTAGGTGTATGCAGAGATTATGGCTGTTCTCAAACATGGAAACTAAAAACTTATGATGCAACTACATTGTTTTTTTTTTTTCATATTAATTTCTGTGTAGGTGTATGCAGAGATTATGGCTGTTCTCAAACATGATGACCTGTGTACTAGAAGACTCCAGGATAGTGCATCAGATCTCAGTCAACTAAGTACACAGACAGTGTTTTCCATGCTTGATCATCTAACTCAATGGGCTAGACATAAATTCCAGATGCTTATTGCTGAGAAAACTGTTAGTAAGTCAAGCAAAGACAGAACAGATCTAAAAGGTTAGTGATGCTCATTGTATTGTTTATAAAGGGAATTTTGTATTCTTAAAATAAGCATTTAGACATGTCACTTAAAATAGAACCACATAAGAATGAAGTATCACTGCCAAGATAAAGTTAGACTATTGCTATGATTTTTTAAGTCCATACTACTGACTAACACACGCTTTATCCTCTTGCCTTACTCATATTGTTTTCTAGGTACAGTAGACTTCCGATAATCTGGCACCTTTGGGACCTAGGTGGTGCTGGATTATCGGATATGCTGGAGTATCAGGAGGTACTCGGGCGGGGGGCTGTGATAGGTCTGCCGGGACCAGCACTGCGTCCGGAGGGTGGGTGGGGAACGGTGCGGCGAGGGGCGAACTCTCCGCTGTTTTGCAGGAAGGTGAGGGAAGCCCCGCGCCACCGCCGAGAGTTTCCAGGAGGGGAGCGGGCTCCCCACCCCCTATACTGCAGTAGTTAGCGCTGAGCAGGGGGATGAGGAGCGGCGCTGCGGGACCAACCCGGCAGCATCCCAACTGCTCTGCTCCGCCGCTTCCCCGAGTCCGCTGATGCTGGAACTGATGAGTGGTGGGCTTAGGGAAGCTGTG